CTCCATATGAACATAAAATTATCCTGAATGGCCAACTCACCCACCCGACTTGAAACCCTAATACAATTTTATTAATGTTTAGAGAAACAGAGCATAGATCAAGAGAGGAAGAGGTTGTGTCGAGGTCCCCAGAAATCATTTCAGTGAGGACTTTCGTCAGTAAAAGCGTCAAACTACAAAATCGGCTTCTTTTAAGCCACTAACCACATTTCTATTTTAAACCCTTTTATTTTCCATCGCAACAACATCTATCTCAGGTCACAGCCGGGACGTTGGCATTGAATGTGACACTCTCTTGCCATATTTGGCCGAGATTTTTTACTGGAAAGGTATTTACTTCGAGCCGACGAATTCCTCTGAGATGAAAAGAAGCTCTTCTCTTGAGCACGTGGACATTGAGAATGCTCTCGAGGCGGTAAATGCCGTGAAAAGCGCTCCAGATTTACTAAATGTTAGAATCAACGATTGCGCCTCCGGCTTAAATATAAAAGAACTTGCCAAACCCTTGGCCGTAGTCGATTCTTCTATCCTCGGGCCTATGCTGGCTGGTGTGAACATCGAGAGCTCCTGTGGTTATGTTTTCATTGAAAATGTCACAGTCCAGAATACACGATTTGGAGGAGGCCTTATCTATAAGCGCCTGGCAGTGAATCTATGTTCTGTCATTCCAGAGAAAGCTTCTTTTCCTTTGCTCCTAAATGCCGCTGGAAATCATCTTCCGGTTGATTGTAGTAAGGTAGGATCGAGTGTTTTAGTTAAAATGTCTGAGTGATTTGGTAAAAAGAACTACGGAGTACGCTTTGAATTCAAAACCAATCTAATGTGAACTTTAGAATATCTATAAATATCCAACACCTTTTCGAAAACAGTTTTTTTTAGTCAACTTCAAGGTTCAAGTTTCTTGAACTTTAGTTAAAATGTACAGGTTTTTGTCACATTTGGTACATATTTCATTCAAGATTTTACAAGGTAGAACGACAAGCTTCCGATAGTGAGGGATTTAATTTTTCTATCAAACCAGGCGAATCCTTTGAGGAAAACAACGCGGTCTCCATGAGCTGAAAGTTCTGGATCCTTGGCGATCCTTGGAGAATCGAAGGAAAAAAATATTTTGATGATTATCGAAATAATTTGAATTAGAAAGGACACTTCTTCCCTGTTATAGGTAGTGGTTTTTATTCGAAGGGAAGATTTTTCATGAAGATCACAATGCAAAAAGACAACCCCTGGTTAAGGGGAGTTTCATTCCTCCCCATATGCAGACACTAGTTTTCAGACATCTAAAACTAATAGCCAACGACGGAATCAATAAGTTTCCTCGAAGGCTACAGGAAGAAAACACCTACATCAATGCCTCTTTTTCCATTTTCATCTGTCAATTGAAGTCGATTCGCACCTCTCGAATGTTATTTTTTAGGATATTTTTCCTCAAAAGGAAAGTATTCGTGAAAGACATCTAAATTATCAAAATGTTGAGCCAGGTTTCAGGCTCTATAGGACTAACCGCAACTTTTAACGTAGAGAAATACTTATCTGTATGTTGCTTCCTTTTTTTATCAAAACTCTTCCAGTGAAAGAAATGAATTAAAAGAAACATTTGCATTCTTAAGATTTTCAGAGCTTCACCAGGAAGAAAGATCTCTGTGTATTTAAGAATAATTAATGGAAGTGGATTTGAGCTAAATATTACCGATGCAAGCACAGCTATCAAAACCAGACTGCACAGAATCACAAGGGACTACAATGGAAGGACATTTAAGACTGGTTCTACTTCTATATTGGAACTTTCCTTCTACTCTAAAGGCAGTTCCAACTTGGAAATGGTCGTTATGGAAGATCAAGGTAGCTCTATTTCTAGTTATGTCTTTAAATGAGACGAATTGGTCTATCTTCTGTTCACTTGAGCAGTTCATCACTCATTCAAAAGGGTAGTTGTGTAACCTCTCCATCAGTAACCTCGTCAATTTTTTCCTTTGATTGACTAGACCGTCAGTCAGTCGACCGGTCGGTCTGTCGGTCGCTCATTCGGTCGTTTGCTTGTTCTTTCGGTGGGTGGTTCGTTCGGTCAGTCAGTCGGTCGCTGAGTCAGTTAGTCAATAGGTAAGCTAATTACTCAATAAAGAATCGACCAAAATAATTAATTAACTATCCAATACGAAGACGAAATGACTGCCCACAATTAGTCTATAAATTTGTTTGGATGATGTATGCTCTTCGTAACATTAATCCATTGGCCTTTGATCATTTTAGGCGAGACTTCATCACTTGTGATAACTAACAGTACCTTTTCTAACAATTCTAAGTCCGGTATTACCGTTGACAACTTGATTGGTAATTCTCGAATCTCCCAGACAACGGTGATAGGGAACAACTACAATGGACTCTACATAACCAAGACAACAGGTACTTTAGAATTTAACGACGTCAATTCCTCGAAAAACCGAGCGTCAGGAATCGTAGTCGATGCTGGAACTCTTTCATTCCGAATGTCTGACAGCCTTGTTGAAGAAAATGGTGGTCAAGGATTGCACATCTTAAACCAGGTCAACTCCACAATCAAGATTTACAACTCGCAATTTGTTCGTAACAGTAACGGTGAAGGAGTTTATTTACAAACATTTCGCTACTGCTATGTTCGACTAGTGGAAGTACTGTCTCTTGGAAATTCGCAAAATGGGGCTCTGTTTACGAGATTATCCGATACCAGATTAAATTTCAGCTCTTGTAAATTTGACGGAAACTCGAATAAAGGAGTTTACGCTGACTACTTTTTAAGAGGAGGACTTCACTTAGAGAAGATTTCTACCTCAAACAATTACAGATCTGGTTATGCTTTCGAATTTGGGGATACCAACATAAACATAGAGTCTTCGTCTTCTTTTGGTAACGGCAGGGATGGTTTTTACGTAGAAAATCAAGGAGGAGAAGTTGTCTTAAAGGATTTTGTTGCTGGTGGCAACAAACGAAACGGATTGTGGTTTCCAGATACCGAATCAGCTCGTCTTCGATCAGTTCATCTTCTAAGCTGTAATGTTTCAGGGAACATTCAATACGGTGTGCTCTTTTATCTCACGTATAGATTTGATCAACGCCCGGAGAACTATATCATTAAGGTTTCAAACTCCACAATTTTCAATAATTCTCTTGGTGGTTGTAAGATCTATCCTTCTAATTGCGGTTGGGGAAACGATGGGTGGCAGAGAAGCGTTCGACTTTTATTCACTGGTAATAAAGTAAAGAGAAACAAAAAAAATGGTTTGGATATCTATGGCCCTGAATGGTACGTGTTATCTGCTGTCTTGGCTAATAACATATATTACGAGAACAGTGGACTTGCTCTGACAGTGAGACATGGGCGAAGGTGTTCCTATGAGAATTCCTCACCCTTCAATCTGCAAGTTTCATCCAACATCTTTTTGAAGAATAAAGGGGAGAACATATTTTTCGTTGATTGCGGAACGTTACCCACAAAATGCCGTGTAACCATCAGAAACAACACGTTTTTTGACAATCAAAGAATCCGCCTGTTTTCCAGCAATTACCTTCGAATTAAAACGCAGGCAGTTTTAGCTGTAAACGGAGGCAACGTTACCATTAAGTTTAATTCGTTTATCAATCCTTTGTTCTCTCACGAATTAGCAACTCTGCTTAAAGACCGCGAACACGTTCTTCTTGCGGAAGAAAACTGGTGGGGAACAAGAGATGAATGTAAAATAAAAGACCGAGTGTTTGACTTTGAAGATCGAGTGGAACTTGCACAGATCCAATATTATCCATTTTTGGATTCCTACAATTCTACCAGCTCTAAATTACACGATGGTGTCAGACCTTTCTGTTTTCTTCGAGGTAATAAGTTAGGAGGAACATTAAATCAAGTATTAAATATTACAAACCAAACTGATGCCTACAGAGTTATCAGTGATGTTACAATATTGCCTGACGGCGTTTTGGTTATGGAAGGAAACATCACTTTAGAATTTCCATTGAAGAGCGTTTTCCTAGTACAAGGAAAGGTTATCATAAAAGGCACTAAAAAAGAACGGGTAAAGTTCCTTCCAAGAGGACCATTGCAACAGGACATTAGACTCGACGGAGGTCCTGCTCCGTGGGAAGGGGTAGTTGAAATATGGATCAACGGCAGGTGGATGCCAGTTTGTATGCGTACCTATGGATACGAGCACGACATAGTATGCAGACAATTGGGATATGAACCGGTGGACTATTATTACCATGACCCAAGTGGAAAAGAGAAAGAATTTCTACATAATGTCATATGCAACACAGATCAAGGAGACAGCATAACCATTTGCAACAAAAACAACTGGAATGTATTATCATCCTGCACAAAAAATGTTTTGTATGTCGGCTGCAAAATTCCTTACTGGGCTGGCGTTCATCTTGCTGTGACTTCAAAGGAAAGCGTCTTCAGCGATGTCGAGGTGCGCTATGCAGGTTTTCCATATAGAGACGACCTGACTATCCCCGGAATCGCCTTCAGAGTGGATCTCCCACGTCACGTGATCAGCGGTGTCTTTGTGAGTAATTCTGCTGCCATTGGTTTCCAGATTATGTATCCAGACCCCCTAAAAGATTCAAATACAATCGAGAATTCAACAATAGCTAAAACTGAGTCGGATGGAGTACGTTTGGAGTCTCCATTTATCGAGTTTGTAAGTACAAATGTCGTAAACACAAAAGGCTACGGATTTTCGTATCGTTACAACTGGAATGCTCTCAACACACACGTGATAAAAATGGCAGATGCAACTGTGAAGAAGTTTGTGGACATATGCACTGAAAGTGAAACATTTATCAGTGACTCTAGTGTGGTGTATTATCTAGTTGTGACATTATGGAGCAGAGCAGCTTGCAGGGCCATAATTACCGTTCCACCAGAATATACGATAGGATTGCAGCTAATATATCACAATGTATATGACACAGTTTTCCACGTGTACAATGGAACAGACAAGGTAAAGGGCACTCTCTGGGATATCCATATGTTAGATTGGTACAGCCGTCCTGCTTGGATGTCTGGCAATAGCTCAATCCTACTAGAGAAAGGGTATGGATATCCATATAAAGACGACACGGTGCATTTCCTACTGTTTCTCACCAAAAGTAAGTTCAGCTATTACTTTAATCATATCGGGTTAAGCAGTGATCTCCGTCGGTAGACTGCAATTTTTGCAATTGCAAAAATAAGCTGCAGGGTTCGACAGGCTTTGAACCGTGCCTCTGCCTATTTGGACGCTGTTTGCAAAAAATCTCCAAAGCCACACCGTTGGGGTAAGGCAAATTTTACAGTTCTTCTTCCCCGTGGAAGAATTTTACCACAATTTTTAGTTTAATCAAAACTATCACAAAATTGTTGTCACCAGTCCAATTTGAGCACTAATAGGACGGTGTACGCGTCATGCTTGTAATTAGACGGTGCGATCTGTGCAAGTAGACAGATCGCGCCATGTGGGCGCGCTGTTGTCTCACATTTCGCTGAGTTAACTTTTGGTTTTTTTTTTATGAAAAGGGATAACCGATGTCTAGTTTCTTGCTCAAATTTTGTCGTAGTTTTGATTGATGGCAACAAGACTTCGTGTTGTCTGATTCCGTCAGTAATCATACTTGTGATTAACAATTCAGACTCCCCCTTCGTGGTCATCCGATTTTGTTAATCACTCGTATGATTACAGACCGAATTGGATTCCACTTAGTCCTATTACCTCTATAAACAGAAATTTAAGGAAATAAACTGTTTCATTATGAAATTGATCATATCGGTGGTAACATTTCAAGAAAAAGTAGTTGAATATGGATCCTTTGGTGATTTCCACGATGTCAACAAAAAGACACAAGTCATCAATGAGGATGATCACCAGTTTGTTGTTTCAAGAACATGTTTCTTAAAATTTGATCATGATCTGAATGATCGAGTTTCATTGTGTATTAATATATTTTGTAATTAAGGCTGTCAAATGCACCTCTTTACTGGTAGGCATCGAGCACTCGTAGGTGGGCAAGAGTTGCACTGCAAGGATCGGAATCCTTTTTTGTGATCAAAGGGCCTAAAGTTTATTTAATAACCACTTTCATCATCTGATTATGTTATTAAAACAATGAAAATTTTTTAATATTCATTAAAAAGTCAGTTATTGATCACAATCCATGGAAATTTCCTCTAATTCTTTTTTTTCACAGACATGCTTTATGTCAGAAAAAAGTTTTGCAAGGCTCAGAGTAGTATTCATAAACAATTATTTTTGTTTTCAACTAACAGGTGGTGGAAAGACGAATATCAGATCACCAAACCTTGTAATATCCAAAAGCAATTTCAGCCACAACAGTGAAGGTGGAATTTTGTTGGGTGGAGATAACGCAGGAATAGTTGAAATCGAAAACACGGACGTACGAGACTCACCCGAGAATGGCTTGTCGACAGCATTTTCCCACGTTAACAGCTTGAAGCTGCTGAATTGCCAATTCGTTAGAAACAAGATCGGAATCAAGCTCTCTTCATTTTCAGGTAACGTGAATATCGAGAACACCAAGGCTTCTAACTCGACCGAAAATGGACTTTATGTGGACACGAACGGTGAAAAAACAATCCATATTGAAAATGGTGGTGTTTTCCATAGCAATGGATATGGCCTGTTTCTGGATGGTAAATATACCAAAGTGAAACTTACTGCAACCAGGATATTTTTTGGATGGAATAAGGCATCTTCTGTTTATTCGCGTAGTTATTATGGTTGCAATTTGCCTTGTTCATCCCATACTTCCTTTACAAACTGTACATTTTATGTCAACCGAGGCCCTGTAATAGACATTAACGAGTCTCCACACTCTAATCCATGGCAATTTAACGGTAACCTTTTCCTGAATAACACTCAAGGTCCTGTTATTTTGACTACGCGTTATACGAATAGATACTACACTCCTGAATTATTTGTGAGAAACAATAGTTTCTTGTTCAACTTTTGCCAAGATAAAAGCGTCATAGACATTATAGGAGGCACAAAAGTTTTGATTGTAGAAGGAAACATCTTCAAACAAAACTACGGGAGATCCGTTTATATAGGAAAAACCTCTCCTTCAGGCGCAACTATAAGAAGTAACGTTTTCACAAACAACAGCTGCCTGAATTGTGGAGTCATTGAGATTCAGAGGATAGGTAAGGACATCGCAATTGTTGACAACATTCTTAAATCGAATAAAGGACAATTTATGGTTCTTCTCCAGTGCGAATACGTTGTAGGAGTGAACACTGGCATTAAGAATGTAACGTTTTTGAATAATTCACTCCTGAACAACGTGGCTGTATCATCAAGTTCCCCAACCTGTCAGTTAAAAGTCTCTGGATTTGCGGAATGGAGACCATTTTTCATCAGTTTCAACAGATTTGGCAGCCAAGACTTCTCAAAAGAACTTTGTGTAAGCACCCAAGATTCCTCGCACAGCAGCACAATGCAGGCTTCATTAAACGTCTGGGGTTATGATGACGAGGAAAAAGTCAAGGAAAGAATCTTTGATGGTGAAGACAACTACGAAAAAACATTTGTTGTTTTTCGTCCTTACATCAGTAATGCAGGAAACATAATAAAGGGTTCGCAAGAAAATACTACCTTTAACGCGCTATCGAAAAGCTTTCTGGGAGGAAGGATATTATCCAACGTTCTTCTAAGAAAAGAGAAAAGTCCTTACACAGTTGTGTCCGATGTCACTATTCTGCCTGAAGCTTCACTTTCAATTGATCCTGGTGTTGAGGTGCAATTTATGCCAGGGGTTGGCATGTTGGTTCTTGGTTCACTATTTGTGGGCGGAAATGTACATCAACCTGTCAAATTTTCTCTTTCAAAAGTTACAAAAGATGACGATTTTCTCAAAATTCGATTAGCCGGAGGTAAGTTCCCTTGGGAAGGACGTGTACAGATACTACACAATTGGAATTGGACCTCACTGTGTTTCAATGAGACGCAAGGCAATAAAACTAATGACGTAAAACTGATATGTGAACACCTGGGCTATCAAGCACCATTGTCCGTCAATCATTCCCATCACGAATCGTCCGGCCCTTGGGATGCTTGTGCCGCTCTTCAGTGTAAAGGAAGTGAGTTAGATTTAGCAGAATGCTCTATATCTTTCCAAAGCCTTAGCTGCAACACGTCGTGTCATCTCGTGTTGAACTGTGGCGAAGGAAGGCCTTGGGGAAATATAAGATTTCTTCGCGAAGCTAGGAACACTTCAAACCTATCAACATCAAGTTTAAAACACCTAAGAATTGAGCACTGTGGCGAGAAACATGGCCAAAACGTTGCTGCCATTGAAATGATTCAGTACGTTCCAGAAGTAAATCATGTAACTGTTCTTAACTGCACATCAGGTGGTATCAAGGTTTTGTTCCCAGAAAAAGAGGTGATTATAATGAACAGTTCCTTCGTTAATACCGGAGGAAATGGAACTGATTTTATCAGTACGAAAAACAATGTTACACTTAAAAACGTCAAATCGATAAAAAACGAGTTTGGACTGAGTTTTCATGAAGCCTACGGTGATTGGTTCAATACTATTTCATATGGGAAAGTTAATCTGTGCTCCCCGCAAAAAGTGGTGAATGTCACGGATCACGATGTATTCGTTTACTTTAGGGCACCATTCGTGTCTTTCTCAGATCTAGGGGTATCCTGCCAAATAAAAGTTCAAACAGAGGCAAGTGCTGGTTTTGCTATTCAGCTACTACTCCTAAAAAATGTAAGATCTTTTCGGATAGAACTGCCTAATAGACGTGAAATCTTCAGGACTTATGGTAGCAGCCTAGGTCTACTCTTAAAAAGAAACTTGATCAGGTGGGATTCTTTTACAGTCCACTTTGAGGGACGGTACAGTAGCGAAATGCTTTTGCAAGTTCAACGTGTTGATATCAAAGGTTAGTGGCTGTAAAATTTTCATTTTTATTATTATTATTATTATTATCATTATTATCATAACCATTATCAATATTATTATCACTCTCGTTATCATTACTATCGTTCTCTTTATCGTTATCGTCAGTGTTCGCTATCGTTAACGTCAGCATTTTAGTTATCATAATCATTATCAATTATTGTCGTCATCATTGTCATGGTCAACACTTTTTCTTTCTTTGCCTGTACATAAAGCACAGGCCGCACATGGAGAGTTTGAAAAGAAGCGGTGGGAGTCCAACTTTGAATCAGGAAACATTGATCTTTTTTACTATTTTTTCAATCTAGAGCCAAAACAAGCTAAAAAAATTTAAAGACACGTCAATTTTAGATACTTCAAGTTGAGAAAAATTCGTGATTCTGTATTTGCAAGAACTTTGGTGTCATACAAGTGATAGGAAAAACCCAAATGTCTGAAGAGGATTGGGGCTTAGACTACCGGACCCCCATTCTGGATTTGCTACCGTAACGTCTGTGCTTTGTTTAACAACTGTTCGGTAACACCTAAGTGTATTATGTGAATGGGCAGAATGTGCCAATACGATGGGATCTGATAACAAATCTGCCTAATTTTCCTCAGATATTCCATGCTCATTTGACCGGGGATTTTGTGACTGGAGACGCTATCCCAAATCACATTTTGAAGGAATTGCCTTGAGGAAGAGATGGTATTTTGGAAACAGTCGTTATGACCACACCTATTCAGGAGGCAATGGTGAGTTGTAATAAGTAATAGAAGATTGAACTTTAAAGATTTTAGAAAGGACATTCGAATGCGTTAATCTCTTAAGTTTTCATCTATCTTGTGACCAGATATGAGTTGGCTTAGGTGACAGCTCGAATGTTCTACGAAGTAGGAAGTTGGGTGGAGGAGCCGAGAACTCCTTCCGTCGACAAAACGTTTTCCTTCCGGCCGCTTTTGTGGATATTATTCTCTCGGTCGAAAACTTAGAAATGGATTACAGGACTGTGGGTGACTCAGTGAAACGTTCTACCTTATCGAGTGAATTGGAAGTTCTTGAGAACAACCGTACGTAAAGTTCAAAAGATCGTTAAAGGACATCTCCAGATCAGCACCCGCCAGATAATATTTAATAGAGACGACCCAATGGTAAAATTAGAATCGGGAAAAAGGACGCAGCGATGTTGTTGAAGAACTCGAGCAAAACTCACGAGGAGTGCCTGAACGAGCTGGAGCAGCGACTTGCAATTGCCAAAGAATAAATAATGAAGGAACAAAGTCAGGGGTGTGTACATTCAGCTGAGTTGGAGGCAATCGACCAAACAACTAAACGATTGAATGACAAAGAGAGAAGGCTGGAATTGTGCCAGTGTCGGAAAGCGTTGATCGTCTGAGAACATTTTTGCTTCAGGAATTCAAAATACTCCGCCAGGACCTTTCTCATCGAGGTCGTGTTTGTTGATATCTTGATCTCTGAGCCCTACATGTCAACTTCTAGTACTCTCAAAGGATTGGCTGAGAGGAGCAATCTTGAAACTATGTCAATGCCAGTGTTGTCGATCAAAAAGAGGATTTCGTTTTAACTATGACCCGGGACTTGAACTTTCGAAAATCTTGTTGATACTGTCTCATCTAGAAGGGGAATATTCCTATGCAATCTCAGCTGAAGTGGTAATGAGCGCTTACACTGTAACAGAAGCACGGGATTTTTCGGCTCTCCCCATGTTTTTCTGTAGACAATTTAAAGTTTTGAAACTAAACCTTTAAGGTGCCATACATTTTCACCGTCTCAAATTTTATCAGATATTTGGTAACGAATCGCATCCCCTGTCTTTAAGAGTATCACTGCTTAAATTACCATTGTTAAAACAGCAACAAATGCGAGTATCTGTCAAAGACGTAATCAAATGTCATATTTGATTTATATCTTACGCAGGGGGATTACTATATCTTTGGCGACACTCGTTTTCTGGTTACGGTGCCTTTACCAGCCCATTAATTTCCAGCGACAACAATTACTGTTACTTGGTGTTCTACTACATGCGGGATGACTACTACTCCAGGTTATCAGCATCGCTGTCCATTTTTCTTATAGAAGACATAAGTAATTCTTCGACCTTGCTCTGGTCTATTAGCGATTACGTGACAGACTGGAAAAAGATAGTGATTGAGCTACCCTATACTGACGCCAGTTACTCGATTGTGGTATTGGGATATGAAGAGTACACAACCGGAATTAAAATCGATGACCTGGCCTTCGTCAGTTGTGACCCATGTAAGTAGTGATATATTTCAAATTGACGTATACATTACAGGTGAATTGAACAGGCATGACCTGGTTAACTAACTGGGCGGTAATTAGCGAAGTACATCATCTTATCCAGTACTAATCTTTCCAACCTCACAAAAACTGGGGAGCACCATATTTACAATGTAAACAATAAAATCCTCAGTGTTTCACGAAAAACATGATAAGCAAAGAAATGACACCGTGACAGCTAAATAATTGCCTCCTTAAGTTTTATTCGTCCACAAGAAAGTGTTAGAGAACTTTTTAATTGGTGAACGTTGACATGCATGGCCCTGTGCGCAAGTTTTTTAAAAACATCCTAGCTTTTGACAAAAATGGTGCTTTGGTCAGCCAGTGTTGGAGAAATCGGGGGACACTCATCTTCCCTCAGGTGAGGTATTGTTTTCCGTAGGTGATGTTGACGCTATGTGGTAAACTTATCAATATAAGAAGGTGATTTTTTGATGTCTCTCCTATAAATTTAGTCGACATTTCCAATTCATAAACAGAAAAATGCATTAAGGCTTGAAGAAGATAAGTGCAGCCAGGAAACTAAATCCGAAAGTAAGATAATCTTCTTTGAAGCTTGTTTGCCTTGTGTTGTACTATGAAAAGATAAAAATTTCATTTTCTTAACAGCTGCTACTGCTGTACACCAAGTAACCGGAAGTGTTTTTAGTGGTAACGAGAAACAAGGTATACATTACACGACAACTCAAAGTGAAAGCCGACATATTTTCAGAGTAGAACGTTGTCAGGTAACAAACAATGGTCTGAATCCAGTCCTTAGTGGAAGCTTACCAGGAGCGATTCACCTCAATGCTTCAAACCAAGTGTTTGAAATAGTCAATAACTACATTGCTGGAAATAACAATGGAGGTATTTATTCCGAAGTACTCAATGAAGTGTCCACGACAAGACCACCGGTCAGCCATATCCATGCAAACACCATAGAGTATAACAAAGGAGGCACATTACGCGTAGAAGGAGTTTCTGGGCCCTATATGAATGTTAACGTGAGCAATAACTATTTTTCTCGAAACTTGGCGCGAGGTTTGGATGGCAAAGCAAATAGCGTTTGTGTCATAACAAAGTCGTGGGCGATTGTTCAAGGAAATTTCTTTTATAGAAACGTCGGTCATTACGTTTTGCTGTATGATAATTCTCAGACAAGTACTGTTGGTCTTCGATTTGTGAATAATACATTGTACAAGAACGGTGCAAGGGGGCTCGATGTTAATTACGGAGCGACTATTCTGTGCAATGGAACAGCAGAAATTCATGGAAACGTTTTTCAGAATCCTAACAACCGCTATCAATTCAGTACCACAATGAGAGGGAGTCCAATCACAGTAAACGCCACTTTTAATTGGTGGGGAGAGAATGTACCAAATCTGATTTCTTCTCTGATTATGGATAAGACAACGGATTATCGACTGTCCATAACAGTTGCGTTCCAGCCGTTCGTCAAGCTACCACCTCAAACAGCGACATCAGGTCAATAATATTTGGGACTTTCCTGTTCCAAGTCTATCTTTCATTTTGGTGTGATATCTCACTTTTACACCTTAAAATGAACCTCTTTTGTATCATAATACTGCTCGGCTACTTAAAACATCAATTTTCTCTCAAAATGTTTAAAACTATCAACTCTTTCCTCAAATAAATCAAAATTAACCGTGTTTTATTTTATGCTGTGGGATTTTTCCTTAATTTAACGTAACTTTAAATACAAAACAGCTTATCAATTTTCAGCTCATCAGTTTTCCACTTATCAATTTTCTTCCTAGTGTCTTGCCCGCCTGAATGGATTAAAGACGATGAGATTTGTTACATGTACAAAGGAGGCTCCTTCACTTTCACTGATGCCGAGAAATATTGTGGGGTAAGCGCGGTTGATACTGATACTCTATTTTAGTCTCTCTTTTTCTTGTATTTTAACCGTCTTTTTATTTTTTTCATTTATTTCTGTTTACGCTACTCAACTTTTCTCTATCTTGTTTCCATTTGTCCGCTCGAGCTGAAACTAGATGAAATTAATTTTCAGGTGAAATGAATACACAAGGGAGCAAGGCAATTAAGCTTGAGGGCGACTTGACCTAGGGCGATAGGGGGGGACTGCTTCGCTCCCTCTCCTAGTCCCTCAGTTTCGCCTCCCTCAGACTGAATTTTGTTCCCTTATTAGAAAAGTGCTATATGCTCGCTCAGCGTGTTATTAATTATAATGATGTTTATTCGTAGAGTTATGGTGGAAATCTCGTCACCATGCTTTCAAACGAAGACAAACGACTCATAAAGCATCTCCGACAGAAAGAATCCTCGGTTCATTCGGGCAGGTTGCCTTCCCTGTGGACCATAAGTAGGCGCTTTTTGAGAGAGGTGAGGAAACTTCAAGTTCGATACTTAGTTTCTGTCCCACAGGTATTTTTCAAATAATATGATTGCCCGATGATATCATGGGCACCAAATTATGCTCATAACCTCGAATAAACCCGTGTCGACTCTTGTCTTGTTTACACGATGAACATTGTTTATAGATGACAAAGAATATCATCCTCGTGAAATGGGTTCAAAAAACCCGCACAAGGCCTTAGACATGCATTGTTGTCGGTGCGAGGTCTTCGTATTGACACGTTTTGAAACAAAAATTGTAATACTTTTAAAAAGGCAAATGAAACTTTTTGCGGTTTTGCTTTAGTGCCGAAACATCTTCCTTTACAAAACGTGAGACCTGTTCGCTATTTTGGCACCTTTGAAAAGGTTGGGATGGCACTTTCTAATTTCTCATGCAAGAAAATATTTTTTACGCTTAAATTTTCTAAATAATAGTGGGGTAATTTTTCACCCACGATAGAGAAACAAAATAATCTACTTCCTCAACTGTCAAGGTTCACTTAAGGCACAATGATGAGACCTTCCACTTTTTTTGTGTGTCCTTCTATTTGTCTCATTTACTCCTTTTGTGTGCCTATGTTCTTTTTTTCTTGAATTTTTTTCATGACAAAAAATAAAATAATAATAATAATAATGTACAAGAAGAAATAGTAGTGAACAGTCGAGACATTGATCATTTTTCTTCGCCACAGTCCCACCACAATGCATATGATCAGGAAAATAACGTATGTCCTGTTGTGGCTGCCACCGGAAATACTTCACAAGTTCATTGTAATGAATTTCTTCCTTTTGTCTGCGTGCGGAGGCCAGGTAAATCACACTCAATATCATAATTGATAAATGAATTCTATCGTTGTATTACAGGATAATGCTAAATGAATATCAATACGAAATAGTTCTATCTCATCACCTGACGAAAAGAAGTGTTAAACTTGTCATAACATAGCAATCCCCAATTTATAGATTGACTGTTCATCTACAGGTATTAGTAACTCTAAATTCAAGGACAAAACCATTAAACTTTCATCATCATAGTTACGATGAGCAGCGATGCTATTATTATCATTACCATTGAGGCGCGCTCTGTCGATAATTTTGCCTCCTATAACGCACTATATCATCATTGCCATTGTTACTCCTATAACAAGATAAGCACTTCTGTGCATAGCACCACGCCCCATAAAAGCATGTTTGATTTGCAGAGTCTATAACTTGCATTTCCTCTTGTAGATTAAAACAATAGGATATCCATTTACGTTAAATATTTCCGCAAGTACTGAATCGCAATAAAAACCGAAGGGCAGGGGGGGGGAGGGTTTCCATTCAGCCCCGTCCCGTGCCCAGTAACACGTCGTGGGTGACACCATGTCTCAGGAATATGCTTACTACTTATGAAGAGAGCAGGTACCAACCGCATAAACGTCTTTTTGGCTTCATAGTTATTCACTGCCCGAACAGCTGTTTCCATAACGGGGACTGTATAGGTGCCACGTGTTTCTGCTATCCCGGATGGACTGGAGAAGACTGCTCCAGGTTTCACTGCTATGACTTGCATAACTGTTCTGGTAAAGGTGAATGCATGGGTCCCAATGTATGCAAATGTTACCCCGGATATTTAGTAAGTGCATTTCTACTTAATTCCATAGTAGCTCTTAACTGTGTTGACTATAGCAAGTTTGATACCTAGCTATCAGGGCCACTTTTAAATAACTGGTATCAGCCTTGGCTGGATAGAAACTAGATTTGTGCAGCTGATTATGTGTGGGCAATTTAGCGCGCTCTCAGCAGGTGATCAAGAGTGTTAATCTTCATCTCTTAAAAATCAGATCTCAGGCATCTTTATGATTTATCTAATGTTCGTCTTCGCCATCTAAAACTCGTATGAAAACTTATCTTAAAGCGCCTGTTTAGATTCCATAGAAAATCTTCTCCCGTGTTATACACAATTTGACAAGGGATCCCATCATTTTGAAACAACTTTGTTAGGCGGTCGCCTACGTGTAATCACAAGGCATGTTTAAAAAAACCTGATGCTCTGGTTATCTTAAAAATCCGCTTTTGCTGCCCCTACATTTTTTCAGACAGATCGCCAATAGATGGAAGAAGGAGAAGTGAGATCGTGCTATAACCACGCATTAATGTGCAATGTCTAGAAAGCCAGCATTTGTGGTTGAGCTTCCGGTACATTTGAACACAATTCTGGAAACGGTTAATTTTTGGAAATTTAGACGCCATTTAGTACTCTAAGAGCGTCTTTAGTATCCTAATCTGATTAAAATGACACCAGTCACTGTGCTTTCATGCATTTACAACTATTGCGTTCAAGACCCATCGGTTTTGTCTCTGATCGCATGAGAACAGTTGTAATTATCTTTTCTAAAGAACCCTAATGCAGGAAAGTTTCTGAATATTTCTACAGGGTCTTGGTTGCACTTACTCCTTCTGTGGAAAGTACGAAAGTTGTGCTGATTGTGTGACAGACCTGTTTTGTGGATGGTGTGACAGTTCACGCTCCTGCCTCGGAGGTTTTGCCGCAGGGCCTCCTGGAATGAGTTGTCCTGTTTGGTTTTACTACCACTGTTATACAGTAGGAGACGAACGTTGTTCACCTGATATAATGGTAAGTGGAGAGTAGTAAAATAATTCATGGTGCGAACACATCAACACTATGCTGCACCCAGTTCGATATAAGTAATCAATACAAGAGAGACGGGAAGGGGCGGCACTAGCGAGTGTTGTTTATCAGTTGGTTAGATATGTATTTCTGAGTTATCTTTGCTTGTTTGTTCGCTTTTTGTTTTATGCTGCGCTGTTTTATTCTTTTTTATTTATTTTTATTCTGGCTATCAGAGCACTCTCCGCTTCAAACACAAAGCAAACAAACAGTAGTTTTACCTGGATTGCATGCCAGTCTATGCTCATAATCGTCTGTGTTTTGTTAGGTTTTCCTACCAGTTTCCCAATATCCATTTGTACTGCTCCACGCAGAAGGACACCGTGAAATTGCGTTG